GAGAGACGGTGCAGCTCCTTATTATTTGGTAGTCCCTAAATATTGCCACTCTGATAAAGAGAGACGGTGCAGCTCCTTATTATTTGGTAGTCCCTAAATATTGCCACTCTGATAAAGAGAGACGGTGCAGCTCCTTATTATTTGGTAGTCCCTAAATATTGCCACTCTGATGAAGAGAGACGGTGCAGCTCCTTATTATTTGGTAGTCCCTAAATATTGCCACTCTGATAAAGAGAGACGGTGCAGCTCCTTATTATTTGGTAGTCCCTAAATATTGCCACTCTGATGAAGAGAGACGGTGCAGCTCCTTATTATTTGGTAGTCCCTAAATATTGCCACTCTGATAAAAAGAGACGGTGCAGCTCCTTATTATTTGGTAGTCCCTAAATATTGCCACTCTGATAAAGAGAGACGGTGCAGCTCCTTATTATTTGGTAGTCCCTAAATATTGCCACTCTGATAAAGAGAGACGGTGCAGCTCCTTATTATTTGGTAGTCCCTAAATATTGCCACTCTGATAAAGAGAGACGGTGCAGCTCCTTATTATTTGGTAGTCCCTAAATATTTCCACTCTGATAAAGAGAGACGGTGCAGCTCCTTATTATTTGGTAGTCCCTAAATATTGCCACTCTGATGAAGAGAGACGGTGCAGCTCCTTATTATTTGGTAGTCCCTAAATATTGCCACTCTGATAAAGAGAGACGGTGCAGCTCCTTATTATTTGGTAGTCCCTAAATATTGCCACTCTGATAAAGAGAGACGGTGCAGCTCCTTATTATTTGGTAGTCCCTAAATATTGCCACTCTGATAAAGAGAGACGGTGCAGCTCCTTATTATTTGGTAGTCCCTAAATATTGCCACTCTGATGAAGAGAGACGGTGCAGCTCCTTATTATTTGGTAGTCCCTAAATATTGCCATTCTGATGAAGAGAGACGGTGCAGCTCCTTATTATTTGGTAGTCCCTAAATATTGCCACTCTGATGAAGAGAGACGGTGCAGCTCTTTATTATTTGGTAGTCCCTAAATATTGCCATTCTGATGAAGAGAGACGGTGCAGCTCCTTATTATTTGATAGTCCCTAAATATTGCCACTCTGATAAAGAGAGACGGTGCAGCTCCTTATTATTTGGTAGTCCCTAAATATTGCCACTCTGATAAAGAGAGACGGTGCAGCTCCTTATTATTTGGTAGTCCCTAAATATTGCCACTCTGATGAAGAGAGACGGTGCAGCTCCTTATTATTTGGTAGTCCCTAAATATTGCCACTCTGATGAAGAGAGACGGTGCGGCTGCTAATCAAATTATACGCAAACTCGCTGGTAAATATGATTACTGCACCCCCAAGTTAATGTAGTAGCTGAATTGCTCCAATTATTTGAATTATTTACCTTAATTGGTTTAATTTATTTTGCGTCTGTGCCTACTGTGAGGTGGATGTTGTGCACCAGGTTGTGCTAATCTTTTGCTGCTTTTGTGAATTTTTTTGCACCCGCCTTCGTTTTTAATTTATATTTATAGTATAACCTGAATTATCTGGATGAAATATTTGCTGCGAATATTTCTTAATATGATATGGGATATCTCAACGAACATAGAATAATCCTGCAGCAGCAAGTTGTTCTACAAGTATCTCATTCAGTTTTTAAAATCAAATCATGAATTTTATCAAAAATGAAAGAAAAGGACACTCATTTTTATTAATAAGCTACCTTTATTGTTATGCATCAGAGGTTCAGGGATATAACAGCTTCAATTACAAAACGCCGGATGCCTTAATTGGTAATTATCGAGTCGAAGCTCAATAGTACACATTTTGCAAGTGCGCAATGGTACTTTGCTGTTCTGCCAACGTCCACCGAACTGTTTTGTTCAGTGTCTTGGTGACCGCCTCCCCTGCAGTGGGAGTTTTTATGAACTCATAAACGCTGCCTCCACACCGGGTTCAAACATTTTACTTTGTTTCTTTGACGAGCAATTTTGTCTCCGATTAACATGAACATTAAGTAATCTATGAAATCAATTTGCGGCATGTTAAGTTGTTTTTGGGCAAACACCGTCGTTTCATCTGAACTTCTGAATAAACACATTGCTTTCATTACAAATTATAATCAGTATGAAGAACGGATTATTTTTTAATTTTGAAGAATATTTAAGAATTAAACATTAATGTTTTAATGTTGATGCACTGTCAAATGTGTATAACAAGACAAGTTTTATAATTTCGATCTTCTAGGATCCCTTGCCCAAAAAAGACGACATGAATTCCCTCATGAAATCAAAACGAACCAGGAATCCAATTTAGCTGCCCAACATTCCAAATGGAACTGGGAAGACAAATCCTACTGTTTGTGTGGATGTGCCAGTTACCTGCAGCTAAATCAAATTTAGGTTTGTAACTTAATCAAATATAGGCTAATAGCTTAATCAAATATAGGTTAATAGCTTAATAAAATATAGGTCAATAGCTTAATCAAATATAGGTTTGTAGCTTAATCAAATATAGGTTAATAGCTTAATCAAATATAGGTTAATAGCTTAATCAAATATAGGTTTGTAGCTTAGTTAAATATAAGTTTGTAGCTTAATAAAATATAGGTTTGTAGCTTAATCAAATATAGATTTGTAGCTTAATCAAATATAGGTCTGTAGCTTAATCAAATATAGATTTGTAGCTTAATCAAATATAGGTTTGTAGCTTAATCAGATATATGTTTGTAGCTTAATCAGATATAGCTATAGGTTTGTAGCTTAATCAAATATAGGTTTGTAGCTTAATCAAATATAGGTTTGTAGCTTAATCAAATATAGGTTTGTAGCTTAATCAAATATAGGTTTGTAGCTTAAGGGGGGGGGGGGGGGGGGGTTCACCCTGATTTTTTTTGTGAAACTTGGTTTCGAGATAGCAGTTGACCAACAAACTAGGACCAGTGACCGAAAATTTGGCGGCCAAATTCTGAAAAATGCCCGGCAAATTTCATAATTTGGCCGCCAAATTTAAAGGCCTTACTCAAAATTCTGTCCCAAAACTTAAGGTCATGAGGCGATTCTACGTTGATTCTGAAAATTTCGTGAAAAAATATTGAAACCCTATTGAGTTCTATTGTTTTGAGCGAAGTCAGTTTCGCAAATATCGCAAACTGAGATATGGGCGATTTTGTTCATTTTTGGCGATTATTTGTACACAGAATCCACAGTTAGGTAAGGTAGATATTGAGCTGACATGATAATCATAGGGAATGTGTAGTTTGGGCATACCTTTCATATAAAGTTGATTTCATTCAAAAATATTGATATTTGACCAATTTATAGGCCAAAATCGATCAAATTTGGTGCGTATGCCATATATAAACATAGTTGTTAGCTCATAACTCAGTTATTTTTCCTCCAATCTTGATGAAATTTCATATGCGAGTTCAGGGGATCACTAGCTACAAGTAGAGCATCTGGGTTTTGGGCATGCTGAGGGTATTTGGCTAAATTTGGCCTAGTTTGGACTAAATATGGGCGTGGCTGCCCCGCGGGCACCATTTGGCGGTTGGGGTCCGGGACCCCCTCAAAAGTTCGGTCACCGGTCCTAGTTTGTTGGTCAACTGGTATCTCGAAACTAAGTTTTACATCAATCAGGGTGAACCCCCCCCCCCCCCCCCCCCCCCCCCCCTTAATCAAATATAGGTTAATAGCTTAATCAAATATAGGTTAATAGCTTAATCAAATATAGGTTTGTAGCTTAGTTAAATATAAGTTTGTAGCTTAAGAATAATAAGGGGGGTTCACCCTGATTTTTTTGTGAAACTTGATTTCGAGATAGCAGTTGACTAACAAACTAGGACCGGTGACCGAACTTTTGAGAGGGTCCCGAACCCCAACCGCCAAACGGTGCCCGCGGGGCAGCCACGCCCATATTTAGTCCAAACTAGGCCAAATTTAGCCAAATACCCTCATTTTAGGTGCTCTACTTGTAGCTATAGTGATCCCCTGAACTCGCATGTGAAATTTCATCAAGATTGGACGAAAAATGACTGAGTTACGAGCTAAAAACTATATACCCATATTTGGACATACGCACCAAATTTGATCGATTTTGGCCTATAAATTGGTCAAATATCAATGTTTTTGAATAAAACCAACTTTATATAAAAGGTAAGCCTAAACTACACATTCTTTACGATTATCAGCTCAATATTTACCTTACTGTGGATTCTGTGTTCAAATAATCGTAAAAAATGAACAAAATCGCCCATATCTCAGTTCGCGATATTTTCAAAACTGATTTCGCTTAAAACAATAAAAATCAATAGGGTTTCAATATTTTTTCATGAAATTTTCAGAATTAACGTAGAATCGCATTTCGACATTAAGTTTTGTTGTTGAATTTTGAGTTAGGCCTTTAAAAATTTGGCGGCCAAATTCTGAAAAATGCACAGCAAATTTTACACCAGTTATTGCACTCGGCTGCGCCTCGTGAAATAACTGCAATAATCGAACTCGGCTTCACCTCGTGCGATTATTGTATCAATTTAGACTCGGTTGCGCCTCGTGCAATTAATAGTGTAATCGTATTATACGCAGTAAGATTAGCGTATATAACAACATAGTCGGTGTGATTATAAACTAATCGCACTAATTATAACACCAGAAGCGTGGAGTTATGCGCGAATCTAACTGCATGTATGATGCGATTACACCAGTTATTGCACTCGGCTGCGCCTTGTGAAATAACTGCAATAATCAAACTCAGCTTCGCCTCGTGCGATTATTATATCAATTTACAATCGGCTGCGCCTCGTGCAATAAATAGTGTAATCGCATTATACGCAGTTAGATTAGCGTATATTATTAGTATATATATATTATAGTTCTAGATGAGGTCTCTTTGAAAGTCTCGGTATTCAATGTCTAATTCAAAAGTCTCCTAATTGATCAGAAAACTTATTAAAAGTCATGTACGCCCCATTGTGATCAATGACCATTAACCATGGTTTTATATTTCAGTGTGTAGGGACGCCCACTCCCATTGCCCAGGCTGGGCTGATGATGGTCTCTGCTCCTCCCAGCGCTCCTATATGTCACAGACATGTCCTGTATCCTGTGGATTCTGCTCTCCTGTCTCCACCTGTCCTCAGTTAAACATCCCCAGAGGCTCAGTCCGACCACGGGGCCCTGTTAAACCAGATTCGTTCGTCAGTGTTCATTGTGAGAAAGGGTACAAATACAGCGAGCCTTGGGAGTTTCTTCAGTGTTTACCCGACGGACGGTACGATATTAGAGTTGGTCAGTGCCGTAAAGATTATTGTGATAAACCTCGTATAGCTCAAGGTAGAATAAGCTCACCAGGTCTGATTATGAGTGGACACTGGGTGACAGTTATCTGTGATCAAGGTTTCAAACACTCTCACGCCGGGTCCCGACTCTACTGCAGACCTGATTCTCTATCTTTAGAGGGGACTGTTGGGTTCTGTCAACCCGAGGCTCTTGATTGTCCTGAAATGGATGTTGCATTTGGAGAGGTCCATCCTAGGGGTGTGGTAACTTCCAATTCTTGGGCTCAGATTAAATGTTTCGAGGGATTTGCTTACTCGGAGCCTACCCCCTTCATACTGTGCCGCAGTGATGGAAAATACGAAGGAGTTATAGGAAACTGCTTCAGATCTGAACCTATAAGGAGGTGTCGTATTCCTAAGATCGACAATGCTATAACCAGCAGATCAGCCACCTCGCTACCTGGTAAAACAATAAGGATAGTTTGCAGTGCAGGGTATGTCTACTCGCTCCTCTCGACAACTCATTCTTGTACTCATCGTGGGAGATTCAACCCACCAATTGGATCCTGTAATCCTATTCTCCAGTGCTCAGTTCCGGTGATATTAAACGCACACGTTGACACATCCAAAATGGTATCTGCAGGTGCTTGGGTCAAAGTTACTTGCAATTCCCACTTTACTTACACTTTATCAGAAACAAATCACTTTTGCGATAGAAATGGAGAACTTGTACCGAAAATGGGAAAGTGTATACGGCTGTTTCCTGGCCCTTCTCTCAGCTGTCCACCCATCAAGATCCCAGGTTCCCTCTCCCTTCCAGCCACCCCGATAGGGATGTGGGTACAAATGGAATGTCACCCTGGCTACCAATATTCTCTTAACAAATGTATCCACATCTGCCTGAACTCTCAGACTTACACCCCACCTATTGGTAGGTGTGTTGCGGAGGAAAGCAATGCCTCGTCACTGACAGAGAGGAGACCCACTCACTGCTCCACCCCTAAGATAGCCAACTCTCTCATCCCTGCTTCACCTGCTTTGATAGATACCTGGCTCAAAGTGGAGTGTGTACCTGGATACTCGTACTCTCGTACCAACTATTTACATTACTGTCAGGGAGATGGTACCTACAATTTGGAGTTTGGGGAGTGTATTGAGGATAAGCCCCTGGGCAGGTGCTCAAAAGTTGGTGTCCAGAACGGTGAGACTAGGCCAGATTCAGAGGTTTTAATGGGAGCTTTGGTAGAGGTAATTTGTGATGATGGCTATTTGTACTCAAGACCAACTGCTGTCCATTTCTGTGGGATTGATCTTCAATTTGAGCCCAAGCTCGGGGAATGTACGCGAATTCAGTGTCCCGAACTTGACGTTGATAAAGCCATTATCGTGCCAACAGCCAAGCCCAGTGCTTTTGAGAAAGTTTTTGTAATCTGTCTGGCAGGTCTCGAATATGTAGGAGATTCTCCTACTTTCACCTGCCTGTCAAATGGCTCGTATGATGGAGTAACTGGGACTTGTGAAAACAAGGACGATCTTGATAAGTCTCTGGATCAAGAGTTTATTGAGGTTGGGTTCCTTACCAAAGCTGTTGTTCAGATCATCAGCGAGGAGAATGATTCCGATGGCATTGACAACTATGATAAGGAAATTTCCAATGACTCCAATTCAAATAATCAGTTTCAACAATCCACAGTTGAACCGAAGGAAAATCCCTACAAAAGACTTTCTACAAACCCCTCAACAACAGGAGAAATATCAAAATATACTTTAACAGAAGATAACCGTATCCAGACAGAAGCACCTACTTCACATTTACTTTACAGCACCCCCGACTACGGTAACGACCCTAGTTTAGTGACTCCCAACAAGGGAAGTACGGAGGGTGAAAGTAAATCTTCTCCTTCACAGCGGACAAATGGTATTTCTCACTACATTTCCCGTAACAGTACAGTGATCCCAAACCAAGTTGCTACATCAGAACCAGATGACATATCAAACGAAATCTCAGAGTCAGAAGAGAACAGCCTTCCAAATAGCCAAGTTGCAGAGCCCAAGATAATGTGTCCCCCGATCATTATAGAACACGGAGTATTGGACCCTCCAGGGGAGGTCCCAGCCTCAACAGAGGTACGAGTGGGGTGTGATGAGGGGTATTTGTATAACAGGACTGATCATGTTATTAGGTGTGGTGGGGATGGTAGGTTCGCTCCAGACATTGGCTCTTGTGTCCCTAATGGTAGGTCACTTGTTAAAATATTGTTACCCGTTTTATTTTTAAATCGACTAACGAATCCTTATTCATCCTCCTAATAATCATTTTGATTTTTTTCAATATAAAATGTCCCATTACCCAAATAAATGACAAATAAATAGACCTGATTTGTTCCCAGGGAGCTACTGTAAACCTCCAGTAATACTTCACTTTGTTTCCAGGGAGCTACTGTAAACCTCCAGTAATACTTCACGGAACGCCTCAACCTCCGGACCCTATCAAGTCGGGTTTATATTTCTCTATGATATGTGATGAAGGTTTCAAGTTGTCGGGTAATCACTACTCACTGTGCCATAAGGGTGTCGTGAAATCAGAACTTGGTATTTGCAAGAGAGGTGAGAAAACTTTTCCATCTTCAGATTTAGAGTAATGCTTTTTTGATGCTTTTTTTTGTGCATTCATAAACTTAAAGATTCCAATACGAAGTTTGATAGAATGTGCGATTATTAAAATATTCTAACAGCATTGGACACATGGTATCACACTTAACACATGGTATCACACTTAACACATGGTATCACACTTAACACATGGTATCACACTTAACACATGGTATCACACTTAACACATGGTATCACACTTAACACATGGTATCACACTTAACACATGGTATCACACTTAACACATGGTATCACACTTAACACATGGTATCACACTTGTAGTTCGTGCTATTCTCACGATTATGCAGAGTATTTCCGATCAGTGTGCAGAGTATCTCCAATACATGGTGGAGTACTGAAGAAATACCGATTACTTGAAGGAGAAAACATCACACTCAGTTGCAACCTGGGATATGAACAAACAGGGAACGGTGTCTCCCTTTGTACTGAGACAGGACGACTTGACCAACCGCTAGGTAGGTAATCTCATATCTTGTGGGAAAATGTTTAGTTTGTTTGTATCATCACACTATTAATCTATTGACAAATACAATAATTCATTGCTGATATTTGATATTGTAAACGTAAAACGTGATCCCATCATGAAACTTGATTTTTTTCGATAAAATCTTATAAAAGCCTGCCACTCAATGAAAAGCACATTTTTTGGGTTTATGCATTTCAACCTGTATAATTATAATTATCCGACCAAACTGCTTTCCTTTACAGGGAGATGTGAATTAGGGAAATGTCCACTACCTGCAGTCGCTAATGGGTCCTTTAGAACGATCCTAGGTCTCCCCGCCACAGGAAGGGTAACTGTTGGAGACACTGTGTTCTTAAAGTGTTGGAAAGGGTTTGCTCTTCGTGGGAACAGTCAGTCCTCCTGCTTGTCTAGTTTTGAGTTTGGTTAGTGAATTAAGGGTTGTAGGAAAACTTTTGTCGTAAAAAATGCAAAAAAATAGAATTTCTATTTCAAAAGAACAAAATTCTGCTTAAAACTGTCCACATTAGCTTGGTAAACGTTGACCTATTCAAACTGACAACTCTGATGACTGATGCTTCCAATTACATATTTTTCAATTAGATCCACCCATTGGACGGTGTGTAAGAGAATGTCAGTTGCCAATTAGAAGATTTGGTATCTATTCCTCTTTCTCTGTCACTCATGGAGATAATGTATCGCTTAATTGCGATCCTGGCTACGACTTGGTTAGTAAATCCCTCTTTTTACCGCGCACTCAAATTGTCTGATCCCATGTTCTGGATGATATACAAAATGTTGTCTAGCGTGTTACCAAATGGACTATCTACTCATAATTTCCAGAATTTTCATTTACCATTGCTGGTGAAGTGTTTTACTCGCTGGTTATACCACCCAACTACCACTGCATAATGTAAAGTAATCGCAGGTCGGAGCCAACACTTCAGTGTGTAGGAGAGGAGTTCTGGTGCCCGACATTGGAGCCTGTGCTAAATCAGACTGCCCGGCCTTCCCCTACTCCACTCCTAATGGCTCTCTTATCAGGGTGATTTCATTATGTCAATGTGTTATTTTCGAAATTTTTATCAGCTTTTGCATTTCTACTTAGATACAGTAAATGTTTTTATAATTGATAATTCAATAGTTACAAGCTCAGTGAGTCAGTCAGAAATTGTTTTCCTTAATGATAAAACGGATTTAAAAAGTGCACGTGATTTAAAAACATGATATACCAATCAGTCTAAATACATCAAGTCAATCAGCTATAGAACCTGAAAAAGGTATCAACTTAAACATATTGATTTAGCACCGAGAATTATACATGTTGTTGTCATTTAGCAAGGTTACGTGGTCAGAATATCTTGTAATCCCGGATTTGAGCTGAAGGGACGAGGATATGTATCTTGCAATGATCATGTACCCCTTGGATCGTAAGTCATTTCAAAAATACTTCTATGGTACATTTTTAATTTTGCTTTTCTGATGCGAATGCAATGTAAATCTTTATCATACCATAATCGATGATATACACATTTAGTCGACTGTCCTGCCTTTACTTGCAGGTGCATAAGTAAGCAATGTAAAGCCCCAACAGTTAGAAGTGGATCTGTCATACCACGATTAACGAAGGTGGGCCAGGAAGCGATCCTTCGTTGTCACCACGGCTTCGTTCCTTCGGTTGGTATTAATTAGTATTAGTGACTGTCCCTATTTAATTATCCATCACTTATCACCGGAAGAATGTCCTGGAAAGTTCAGGAGTCCTAAATCTTAACAATTGTACAATATTAACAGCTTATAAGTTATATACCTTAAATGCCTTTACGATTTTCAATTTATCCCTCCCCTTGTATGACAGGGAGCAACAACATCACTATGCAAACACGGAGGGGAACTAGATCCAACCCCAGGGAGCTGTATAAACAAGCTGTCGTCGTGCCAGGTCCCTACAGTTCAGGACGGTGTTATGCTCCTTGGAATGTCAAATCTTGGGAAACAAGGTTTGTTAAATTTCTTTTGCAACTGAAAAGCTTGATATATGGATATTGAACACGTTCATTGAAGTTTGAGGATATTGGTAAATATTAGTGGCCCTATTAAATGGCACGACGAGGTAAAATTTGTCACACTATGAAATTATATAAACCCTCAATGGTTGGGATAATCGTCTCATCCTCTAGGCAAACTTTGTCAGATATATTTTTATGATATCTCAACATGTGTGAAATTGAGCAAATATTAGTATACCAACTTAAACACCCTATAGTACGTACTATGGATCAATTAACAATATTTCAACCGCACACCGGTCATATAAATGATTATGTGTCAGTAATATGTTAACATTGGCACAATTATAACATCTCATCATGGAATTAAACGGAATTAAACGGAATTAAACGGAATTAAACGTAAAGTTGTCGGAGCTGGCACTAACACCATCGTCTCGACTATACATGAATGAGTAACATACCTAGAGTGAGTAAAATTCGAATTTCAAGAATCATGAAAATTTAAAACGAAAGCACTTAAAATTTAACTCCCGTACAAACAACCGAAATAGAAATAATTGCTGAAATAATAATTTAACATAAGAGGAAGTAGTAAAAGGCAACTTCAATGATCACTAAACTGCGAAATCAATATTCGAGTCCACAAAAGACACATTCATACTCGAACAGTCCTCCCACTCACAGTCACAACGTACTGGAAACAGTAATCACTAGTGTTCCATGCTCGTACAACAGATCGTAATATCTGCATAATGATGGTTGATCTGTATTATGTCTGTTGAGTTGGTAGTCCTGATGGGGTGACAGGCAGTATTGGCGTCTTTTTCGGGTTCCTGATGCGGTGACAGTTGCAAAGGAATTTGCCCAGTTCTTGCACATGGGCAGAATTCATGATAGCTCCGTATTCCTTGAGCAGCAGAAGACTCTTAAGGTTGTCCGACAGTGAAAGTCTCGCTGAGTGGTACATTGGACATTCAGTGAGGCAGTGTTCTTCATTTTCAATGATTGTTCCTTCGAAAAAGGGGAGATATTCTAAGCCTTGAACGTTCTCCTTGTTGCAGCAGAATCTGCAGGCTCTCGTCCACGTTCCAGTTTCTTTTGTGTATCTCCCTCTCTCAATAATCTGTTCTCCAATCTTTTACAAAGTGATCGACCAAATTTCCATGTGCAGTTGAGGTCGTTCCATCTGCTCTGTGTTGGTCGGTTCGAGCGAATTTGGCCGCTTTGGATTCAGACTGAGCGATCGAGTTCCAGATCTTATACCAAGAGAGGTTTAGATTCTTCTGCTCTTGGAATGTCTGATGTACAAGAAAGTTGACGCTGCTCACGTCAGGTGATGTCTGAGACAATCTGTCGAAGTATCTCAGGCATTGTGGTAGTACCGACAGGGCCCATGGTAACCTGCCCGTATCTCCGTATCAGAAGTTGTTGTTAGCTTTCTTGTGTAAGCCGAGCACCCACTTCAGCATTTTCAGGTGTGTTGTCTCAAGTGCGTCCTTTGTTGCAGCTCTAGCAAGGTTCTGTCTTGAACCATCAGCGCAAGCCATCTCCTTTGCCATTTTTGTACACGGTAGCCATATCTGACAGGCATACGTAGCGACTGGTTTAACGAGGCTGTCTATAAGCTTGAGCATGGTTTTGTTGTTAATGCTCGAGTGTCGACCATGCGTCTGATCGAGAAAAATGCTCTTAGTGCTTTTTTCCTTAGTTCGTTCATGGCACCTTTAAATGAACCGTTGAGACTGAATTGAATGCCTAGATAGCAGTAAGATTTGGCCGATGAGATGTCCAGGTTCCCTAGTTTGAACCCGTAGGAGCACTTCAGCAAACGAGAGCTTGAGTTGAATACCATGATTTTGGTTTTGTCGATATTAATTGACAGTTCCCATTTACTTGCAAATTCGTGCAGGCAATCAAGTTGTTTCTGCAGGCTATTGGCGTCGAGCAGGCTTGTCCGCCGTCGCTAAATGGATCGGCGGCGGCGTTTCACTAAAATTACACCGGCGGCGGCGGCGTACGCCGGCGTGAGCCGTGAAATCAAGGCCAACTAAATTGAGGTCTATGAAATATGAATATGATCATGTACTTAATTTGGGTAATTTAGACTTAACTTCAACAAATGATGTTGGTATATTGTTATGGTATTATCTGCTATCAAATAAAAGTTGAGACAAATTGATACAATTATTTTATTTAAGGTAAAATACATAAACAATAAATTATTGCTGAAATCAATGGATCTCTCAATCTTTTTTGTTGGAAACAAAATCATAGTTTTTAGAACAAAACAGTGTATAGATTTGAAATTCTTAACATTCATCCTAGATCGCTGACTAGAAAGAATTAAACCTGCAGCCGACCAGGTTCTTTCAATTTCCGCACTACTGGCAGGTATACAATGCACTATTCTTACTATGTTTGAGAGTATTAGGGAAGTTTTTTGCCTATCGGCCCAAAATCTTAAAAGTTCGGATTGTAAAATTTCTTCTTCAGTCAAACTTATGAGTAGGTATCTGCTCAGTTCTTCTGATAATCAATATTGTTAAGTTAGCTAAAAGTGTGTATCATGTGTGTGTTGCCCCTAGCCGCTAATCGCTATCAGTAACACTGATATATCTTCAAATGAAGACAGAATTATTTTGAAGTCAGAAAATGCACGCCGTACGCCGATGTACGCCGGGGTGTATCGGCGGCGTTCGGCGTGGCAAAATCACCCGGCGGCGGCGGCGTTCGGCGGCGGCGGACAAGCCTGGCGTCGAGTGCCAAAAGTATCAGGTCGTCTGCCCACAGAAGATTGCTGACCGAGAAGCCGTTCAGTTCTGGTGTTGACATGTCCTCAAGAGCTGCTAGTCTAATGGAGAGGTCATAAATGTATATCTTGAAGAGCTCCGGAGACATTGGATGCCCCTGTTTGGTACCAATGGTGACATCGATGGTGTCCGACAGCTTCTTGCTCAGTTTGATACGGGTAACTGAGTTGCTGTACATGTTCTGGAGGCAAGAGAAGAAGCTTCCTCCGATACCAAGTGTACTGAGTTTGTACATGAGAGCATCCCTGCAGACTGTGTCGAACGCCTTACGATAGTCCACGAAACAAGCGAATATTTTCTTCTTCAGCTTCTTTGTATACTTCTCGATGATCGTTGTAAGGGTCAGGATATGGTCAGAGCACTGGGCACCAGCTCTGAATCCTAGTTGGTGAGGGAAGTCGGGACACACGACTTTACGGAATTCGATCAGCCTATCAAGGAGGAGGGATGCAGAGAGTTTTCCAAGGCAACTTCCGACTGTGATTGCTCTATAGTTATCGGGGTTCTGCTTGTCCCCCTTCTTGTGTAGGGGGGTAGTTATTGAGCAGTTCCATGGGTAGATTCCTTGCGTTAGGCAACCATTGAATAGTTTCAGAAGGACTTTTTGGAGACCGAGTTTGGAGCTCTTGAGCATCTCGTTGGAGATAAGATCACATGAAACGCTTTTGTTATTCTGGAGCTTATTGGTGACTTTCTCCAGTTCTTGGATAGTAAACTCTGTGTTGAGTTTTTCAAGTTCGACTGATGGCTCGCGGTGGTACTCGGTTCCCTGTTCACCAGCTTCGTTGGTCGAAGTGTTCGTTTGTAGTCCACCGTGCGAGGGGTCCTTGCACTTCTGATTGTATAGGAACTTGTGAAATGTGACCAGGTCATATATGTCGAATGTATCAGGGTCCTTGCAAGCGGACGAGAGGTCTTTTAAAGCAGCCCAGTTGATGTTGTTGCTATGGTTGATTTTTTCGTTAACTTTGTATAGGTAAGCTCCCTTTCTAGCTCGTGTTTGTGCCCTGTATTCTTTCTTACGGAGGTAAAATCTTGCTCGGTTGGATTCCACGAGCATAGGATCGATGTGGGTGCTATTCTTGGCTCTTTCGTCTCTACAGACTAATCGTTTAGCATGCCTACAACTCCAATCAAACCATTTGTTTTTGTTAGTACTGGGCTTTCCACTTTTCTGGGTGGTAACTTGACTTGCCAGGTTAATAAAGGTGGCAATCACAATTTCATTGAAACTGCGAATGTCGTCAGGGGAGGAAATATCAGTTTGAAGAAGAGAATCAACTTTTTCTTTGAATTGAGCGGCGTTCTGGGCTGACTTGAATTTTTCTGTGGTACCAAGTCCAGAGCAGGCATCTTTGGTCCACTTGATAAATGGTAAAAACATGTAAATTTCGTCACAAAGAAATCATAATATAACTCTGTTTGCTCCTTTTTTATCGACATTGGTATGATGATAAGCAGGCTTGTCCGCCGCCGCCGAACGCCGCCGCCGCCGGGTGATTTTGCCACGCCGAACGCCGCCGATACACCCCGGCGTACATCGGCGTACGGCGTGCATTTTCTGACTTCAAAATAATTCTGTCTTCATTTGAAGATATATCAGTGTTACTGATAGCGATTAGCGGCTAGGGGCAACACACACATGATACACACTTTTAGCTAACTTAACAATATTGATTATCAGAAGAACTGAGCAGATACCTACTCATAAGTTTGACTGAAGAAGAAATTTTACAATCCGAACTTTTAAGATTTTGGGCCGATAGGCAAAAAACTTCCCTAATACTCTCAAACATAGTAAGAATAGTGCATTGTATAACCTGCCAGTAGTGCGGAAATTGAAAGAACCTGGTCGGCTGCAGGTTTAATTCTTTCTAGTCAGCGATCTAGGATGAATGTTAAGAATTTCAAATCTATACACTGTTTTGTTCTAAAAACTATGATTTTGTTTCCAACAAAAAAGATTGAGAGATCCATTGATTTCAGCAATAATTTATTGTTTATGTATTTTACCTTAAATAAAATAATTGTATCAATTTGTCTCAACTTTTATTTGATAGCAGATAATACCATAACAATATACCAACATCATTTGTTGAAGTTAAGTCTAAATTATCCAAATTAAGTACATGATCATATTCATATTTCATAGACCTCAATTTAGTTGGCCTTGATTTCACGGCTCACGCCGGCGTACGCCGCCGCCGCCGGTGTAATTTTAGTGAAACGCCGCCGCCGATCCATTTAGCGACGGCGGACAAGCCTGATGATAAGGTAACATTGTATTCTAATCGAGGTATAGTTCTTCAAACAGGGGCAATAAATGTAAATGTTGTCACATCAGTCATTGCATAAGTTAGATAGATTTTCATTCACATCAACATGCCTTATTATAGTTGGAATTGATTTATGCAGGAAATATAAAAACCCATGGCAATTTTTCATCACATTGAATTTATACTGTTGGGGCAGGAAAAGTGAACTTCGCCACATTTCGGTAACTTAGTAAAATCAAACTCATTATTGTTAAACACGGGTTCTGATTTGCTACGAATCATTCTTGGAAGAATATTGAATTCTAATCGAGGTATCGTTCTTCAAAATAGGGGCAAGAAATCGTAACATTTTGTGACAATGTTACCATCAACTGCCCTTAGCTTGAATCAACTGTATCTCCTTATATAGAGCCTTCCAAACCAAAATCAGATATAAATGATTTCAGCAATTCACCCAAAATTTCAAATTTCATATAATGTGACAGAATTGACCTCATTAAGGTAAAAAATCATTTACCCCTAAATTAAGCCATTATCATCGAAAACGCTATTATTTTTGTTTAGCAATATCCTCAAACTCAAATGAACGTGTCCGTATACGCTTTATTCATGATCTTATAGCCTAATTCCCCAGTGAACTTATTTGTGGATATGATCCTGCACCCGTTTTCGAAAGGAAGTCACATATCATTATTTTAAGAAAATAAATTTCGAATTAAAATAAAACCAAATAAAGAATATAAATTACGCGAACACCTTTTTTGGTGAATTATAATGGAATCTTCTCATAACCAAAGAATCTAAAATCTTTCGCAAACATTTTATTTAAAAATTCTCTCTGCTGTTCATTCAAAAGATTTACATATTGCTCAATCAACTCTTTCTCCGAAATTGACTTATTACTTGAAGAATTATGTCTTTTCATGAAACTTTCTTTGTACTGGAGCATATCCAGTTTCTCTAAAAGAACCATTAATTCGTCCGGTTCCTCTTCCAATTTAATTATGATATCATACTCATTTCTACAAATGTCACACCATTCTACGGCCGGCAGCCAGTGACCGTTTCTTCCTTTTTTGTCACCCTTTCCTCCTGTATTATGTTTTATAATAAAGTCAACCAGTTCCACAAAAGTTGGATGTGGCGGATGGAGATAAGGATTGTCTTTTGAAAAGGGAGCATGATCCACTAAAGGCTCAAGTTCGTCCACATATGTAGTCAATTCTGTTCTGTATTTCTTTTTAGTCTCATCATCCCATGATGAGTTTGTCCTAGCGCTCACAATGGCGTCCTCGGTCCAAGTTAAACGTTGTCGCTTCATCGCGAAAGGATAATTTTGTACCTTGTGAAGGTAGCTTATCAATCTAGAAACAGGGTGTCTTACAATCGTGAAAAGTATGCTATTGTTTACCTCTGTCTCATCTACTACTAGATCTTTGGAAATGGATTTGTGATCTTTGGATTTGTGATTTTTGGATTTGCGTAACTGTCTGAGTAACTGTGAGAGTGTAAATTTGGACAGGAGGCTAAGGTTGTAATGTTCATTTCCTACGGTTGCATCTGGATCCACAAGATGGTCGATAAAAAAATCTCTCCAAGTAGAACTACCCGCTTTAAATACTGGACACCAAGTGATTCCTTTGGGGCCAAAGTCTTTGAAAAAATATAAACTGCGCCTACCTAATATTCGATGTGTTGAATCTTTTCTATGCATTTTCATTGAATCAGAGTTACAGAGTTCATTGATGTTCTCCATTCTAGTTGCAATTTGCTCCTCCGCTCCTATTGGCTCAGAATAAAAAGGTATACGAACCTGTTCTTCTTTCTTATCCTCTTTCTTATGATGGTTCTGAATATTTACTTTATCTTCGTCAATCAAGTCAATGGTTTCTTTTTTATCGATAGAAGGGTTCTTAGGGTGTTCGATCATGTTTTTGATATCAAATCCTTGAATTGACGTTGGAATAGGTAAATGTATTTCCTCTTCCTGGCTGAGCAATTCTCTTTTTACAGGTTCGTCTTCTATGATAAGCTCTGACGTAAAGTTGTAGTAATTATTATAGTTCAGGATCAATAATCCTGAAATAAGAAATTACGTCATGAATGGTGCTATGATAAAATACATGACTTATCGGGATTTGATATTGTTTCATGCGATGAGCCATGATTATAAATATTCAAATGTAAAGGCATGATCAGAGCATTATACATACAAGTTCAAATAAAAGTAAGTTGACTCTTACCTCCTGCTACCAAAAGTATCATTTTTATGAGACTGATCCTTGAAAACCTCCTCATACTGTAAACTGAAATTTTAATAACTGCATTTTTCGATTATTCTTAATTATCATAGTGTAAAACAGTGTGGTTTCAGTATAAACAATCCAAAAAAACATTTGTTCATACCTATCCAGATAAGGAAACCAGAGTTCCGTGTGTTTAGTATTACTATTTAAGCCCTGGTCAAACAATGAAACACAAATTTGCTATGCTGGAGGACCCCCTCCAGCCAGTTCAAGCTTGTCGCTCTGGTTACATACTAGTGAGCTGTAAAGTAAACAAATCAAGAAATATCATTTACTGCACTAATGCAATTACTACATAGCTTGACAATCATGCTACGCTACAATTGTAAAACTACTCTTAAGTTACTAAAATTTAAAATGTGATAATATAAGAAAATAACTACAGCTATAATATAAAATACCTGAATAAAATATGTGAAGAAAGTACCTAGTAAATTACATAGTAATAAATTAGAAACGGACTGTAACTAGTAAAAGAATGAGTAAAATAAACGGAGAATAATAATATAACCTCGCTCGTGTTTAACACTAAGTAAACATTTAAGTATCAAAACGGATGGCATCCTTTACATCATCAGCTTTAATTATGATAATCTTAAACAGACAGGGACAAATGGGGGATGTTCCCAGTAGACCTCCGAAGATTATTCCGGTCCTCTGCGCTACCGAATTGCTGATGTATGCTTGATTTCGGCGTAAAACATCTTACCAGATGGTCTCCGGTCAGCCGCGCGCGCCGGCACATATATCAACGCGACCAGATACTCTCAAGTCCGTGGCTGAAAGTGGATAAAGATGTGGAACTGGGGTGTTATTTAACTTTAAGTGCGTTAGTATATCCGTACATTTCCAACACAAATACGAAATTTGAGATTTTTCTAAATAAATGTAAAAAAACAACTGAACTTATTATGTAAATACTCAACACTTAAAATTACATTTCAAAAAACAATTTTAGTGCACAATTGTACGCCCAATGTGGTGGCAAACGCAAATTAAATAAAAATTATTTGTCCTAGCTGCCCCTAAGGGTGACGGGCCAAGTAAAAGTAAAGTATACCTTTAACAAGTAACATACACTTACACTTAAATGAAATCTTACACCCCAGTTCCACAGCCGGATATTATGCCAAATTATTAGACGGAGGTCCGTTTCCCGTAGATCATCTCCGGAGATGATTAATTCCCGGAGACCAACGCGCGCGGGCGAATTAGCTGTATTGTAGGGTTGTTTTGTTTCGTCAGTAAAATGTACCGTAGATGGTCTCCGGATAAGGTCGTGGAACTGCAAACCGGAGAAATATCCGGAAAAATATCAGTAGACGATCTCCGTCTAATAATTTGGCATAATATCCGACTGTGGAACTGGGGTGTTACTATATAATATAAAGCGAGACGATATATATCCGTACCATTTTACTGACACCACGGCATCAACTTTAACGCGACTTTTCGCAAAAACCGTAAAAGATATAAAACTGAACTTTTTTGACTGGGTCAAATGATGGCCTTCAAATCAGCATGAAAAAATAAAAACTTTTCCAAGAAATAACAATTTTAGTGTCCAAAATTTGGACCCCCAAGTGGTGTCAAAAACGCCAATTAAATAGGTAATAATTCATTTAGTCTCTTGAGTCTTGACACCACTTAAGGGTTAGACGGGTTCCTGCTAGTATAAATAAACGATGACGTGGAAACATGGAAAAAGAATCATGAAGTGTAAAAGAAAGTTAATCATTCCAGTACAGACCACACAAAATATTTAAAATCTACGATACACTCTGCACTTGCTTGTCAAAAGAAAACTTGGTAAGCAGTTCAAAACAACGATCTGAATAAATCATGTACAAAACAAATTTAAACAAATTTAAAAATGTACAGAAAATAAAACAAACACATGAAAGTAGGCCGAAATGTACATTGTACATATACTAGCCTTTCATTAATGATTAAAACAGCTCTTTCATATTATGGAGCCAAGGTTAAAAAGTGTGGGTTACTGATACAAGTACAGAGGAAAACTTATTTAATGACGTTGCTATGGATAATTGGCCATATAATACAAGGAGGAAGTAAAATGGTATCGGGGACCTGGGGAGAGTAAAAATTGCAGAATTCAATAAAGCAATAATGAGAATGATGTGTGTGTAACACATATCATTTGTCTGAACTGAAAAATTAGGCTAGACACTAGTCTTCTAAATTAAGAAATTAGGCTAGTCTTCTAAATTAAATGTGTTGCACAGATAAAGAGGTGATGACACTCACTGATTAAAAGTGAGCATATCAATCAGAGCAAGTTACAATTATCACACATAAGAACTCAAGCGTTATATTGTAACTATGCAAAATTACATTAATTACATTATTCTGATATAAAACTAAGGGTATTACAATTAGTGAAGTCAATCCCGACAAGAGGATTCCCGAATCCCGGGATTTCCCGACGATTTTCGGTCGGGAATTCCCGACCGGGAAATTTTCACAATTCCCGATTTTCGGGAATTTTCAATATTTGTATTAAAGTTACACGGTAGCGTTAATCAGGTTTTCGAACGTCGTGGAGACTGTTAGCCTGTATCGTCAAGGTTAAGAAAAACAAAAATAAAACTATATGAGTTTCTAGACGAAACAAAAGGTTCATCCGATCCAGCAGTCCTGAATGCTGAACTCTGAAGCTCCATCTAAAATACCAACACGTATCTCTATTAAAATGGAGATGAGTTGTTTGATGTTTCTCCCAACCAGAGGTTAAGGGGAAGATGCTAGTATTTATGGACGCCGCTATAAAAAACGGTCAGGCCGTCCTGATCGATTGAGCCTGGGCGAACCTTTTCAACAGATGACAGAACGCAGACAAAATTTCGTAATGGTATGGGCCCAAGTTGTTTGTGCAATAGTAGTCTTATTAAGGTACTACTTGAGAAAAGAAGGTTAATGATGACACTTTTGGTATCTTCTTGTGACATGATACACAAAATGGGAGCCATTTGCTTTCGGGAATCCCGATTTTCGGGGAATCCCTTGAAATTCTCGGTTTTCGGGAATCCCGATTTTCGGGAATCCCGAGATTTTTTTGCTCGGGATTCCCGAATCCCGGGATTGATTATTTTGATCGACATTGACTTCACTAATTGCAATATGCTAATATAAGTTGCATATTGCATAATATGTGGATTTTTAAACCTTACTATTTAAAAAAAAAGATATAAGTGCTGCATAAACACGAAATATAATTATAAATTAGCTGAGAGAGAAGGACAGTTTGAAGTGTACTAAGGTAATTAACTTTCTATACCTTGAGTGAGTTGAGGTGGAACACGTCTAACCTCACGTCAAACCGTGTAAGTTGGACCTGATACAAATTCCCAAAATAAGCTTGTTTTGATGCCATCAGTATAACTAGAACATAAACAAAGTAAAATAGAAGAAATGAAACCCAAGTGGCGCCTTAACCACGCCCATCTACGCCATTTTTATCATGATTGCTTTGTGAAATGCGATCAAGGTCAAAAGGAAATCGCGGCACGTGCGGAATCGCTATTTTTCTCATTCCCCGCGATAAATTTGTTAAGTGAGATTTGGAACTTAATGAGAACATTGATCAATTGTTAAGACACTTAATCTATATCATAACTTTATAACATACCTTTGCGAACACAATATGGACGAAAACTCATGAGGGTAAAGGAAATATTTCTACGAACATAGTGATATAGTGAAAAACTTATACGAAGGATGCCATAATGCTGGCAACATACCGCAACCTCTAAGTAGCCACCTCTAAGTCGTACACACAAACCAACTAGCAAGTCATTACCCACACAAACCAGTGTACCCCTAATTCATAATTCAATTCGTGCAAATACATTATTTTTTGCTGCGATTTTCGAGATTTTCGCCACGATTTTGCCTAGTTTCGCTTGTCGCGGCGCTTTGATTTTTGGCCTAAATAATCGCGATTTTCTTTTGTCCTTGAATGCGATGCTATTGGCTCATAACCAAGCAGTTCAAAATCTCGTGCGTACATTTCGTCTAAAAAACTTATCTGCTGTTCATTCAAAAGATTTACATATTGCTCAATCAACTCTTTCTCCGAAATTGACTTATTACTTGAAGAATTATGTCTTTTCAAGAAACTCTCTTTGTACTGGAGCATATCCAGTTTCTCTAGAAGAACCATTAATTCGTCCGATTCCTCTTCCAATTTAATTACGATATCAAAATTATTTCTACAAATGTCACACCATTCTACGGCCGGCCGCCAGTGACCGTTTCTTCCTTTTTTGTCACCCTTTACTCCTTTACTATGTTGTATAATAAAGTCAACCAGTTCCACAAAAGTTGGATGTGGCGGATGGAGATAAGGATTGTCTTTTGAAAAGGGAACATGATCCACTAAAGGCTCAAGTTCATCAACATATGTAGTAAATTCTGTTCTGTATTTCTTTTTAATCTCATCATCCCACGATGAGTTTGTCCTAGCATTCACAATGGCTTCCTCGGTCCACATTGTGCGTTGTCGCTTCACCTCGTAAGGATAGTTTTGTGCCTTACGAAGGTGACTTATCAGTCTAGATATGGGGTGTCTTACAATAGTGAAACGTAAACTGTCTTTATCGTTATCTCGATATTTAGATCGTTTTCTTGGGATCTTAAAGTTTGAAAGGACGCCCAGTTTGTAATGTTCATTTTGGATGGTTGCATCTGGATCCACAAGATGGTCGATAAAGAAATCTCTCCAAGTGGAACTACCCGCTTTAAATACTGGACACCAAGTTATTCCTTTGGGGCCAAAGTCTTTGAAGAAGTACAAATCGAATGTAATTAAGCTTCTTAAAAATCTCGGAGTCTGCGGTTCCTTACAGAGTGTATTAATTCTCTTCATTCTCGCTGTTATTCTCTCCTCAGGATTCTGAATCTTTATTTCATCTTCGGCAATCGGTTGAATGGCTTCTTTCAAGGACAGATAAGCATCATTTCTAAACTGCTTTTGTACTTTGTTCGTAGCCTTTTCGTATTTATTATAGTTTTCGATAGAAGGGTTCTTAGGATGTTCGATTATGTTTTTGATATCAAATCCTTGAATTGACGTTGGAATAGGTAAATGTATTTCCTCTTCCTGGCTGAGCAATTCTATTCCTGCAGTTTTGTCTTCGATGATAAGCTCTGGTGTAAAGTTGCAGTTATACGTATAGTTCAGAATCCATAATCCTGAAATAACAAAATAACGTTGTGGATTGTGCTACTATATCAATTACGAAATATCAGTAAAATGCAGTTTTCATCCAATGAACCATTGCATTTATTTAAATGTAAAGGCGGGATCCAAAACCTAAGATTATATAGATTAATCTTTAAATAAAACTAAATTGACTCTTACCTCCTGCAACCCAAATTATCATTTTTAAGAGGGTTCTTATAGAAAACCTTTTCATACTGTAAACTGAAACACTGTGGTTTTGGCAATACTTGATAATCATTATTTAAAATCATTATTAAAAATGTGTGATTGCAGTATGAAAGCATGAACATTCAAGAGAGCTTTTGTTACTGCTCATGATATTGCAGCAATTACTGTGTCAATAAAGCAAGATTTCTGAAATCAGGAGAAAGGTCATTGAACTCAATCGTAAGAATGATGACACGTACCACACTCAGTATAAAAACGGACAGCATAGTGTTATCATGGTTTTTCATACTCAAGGAGACTATATCAGTGACTGAAAGCGGTATCAAGAATCGTATCAACACAACAAAATATACAGTGAAATTTATCCAACTAAGCACATTAACTCATCTCCGAATAACTGAGATGAGTTATCGGCTAAAAGTATTTTCAATTTTGGTCTCTAATTTCAGATGTTCTACTTCTATGAGCAATTTAGTTAATAAACCTCGGTAATCAAATTCGATATATTTAATTGTATTTGTAAAACTACACCAATTTAAAAAACAGTGAAATATCACAGCGAATTAATTCGATATAAAACTATGCGAACAAGACACCAGTTAATAGCTTGATAAAACTAGCTTGAAATACATAAAGTAACAAATACACATTTTCAGTTGTGTGTCACGTGACCTCATCTTATAACTACTTCTCCATAGCTTCCTCGCATGCATCTCTATAGGCTCTAATTATCCTCCATTACGAAACATAAGAAATCCAGAACATATTTAAGTCTCTATACCAGCAAGGGTTGTTTTGTTGTTAAACTTATCACTGTTAATTTGCCATAATTAAATGTTGGGGAATTTTGCTGTTTGGGTGTGCAAAATATTAAACTCAAGGAGGGAAAATTGCAACTGTGGATACCTCAGTAACAAAATTATCATCCACTCTTTTTTATCAATTCTTTAACGGTTGACCATTACTGTAGTCCTGTTCATTGCCGGTTAGGAATGTTTTCAGCAACCAAATATTGAACAAATACATTTTCGTAGTCACCGACATGGATCAAATCATTATCAAAGGATGATAAGAAATTTCGCCCCAGTTCGGACGCAAAATAGTGCATGAAACCCAATTCGAACTCGCAACTCGGCACCTTCGGCATGTGAGGCGATATTAGCGATCTTAAGCCACTGTGGTGAGACATAGTACAATTCTGAGAATAAACTAGGGGCGACATTTGTACACTTTTACGTACTTGCTAGAATACATCCGCTGGTGGCTATAACGATGTACCCAGTGGCCTCAATCCTCATCATCTCTTATCCTTCATGCCAATGAGTTTATGTCACCTCCACCTACAACAAGAGTACGTTACCAGCATCATGGACAAAGGATAGGACAAAGAAGACACTCTCTGCCACACTCATAAGCTCATAGAGCCTGGAAAACTTTAATCACAGGTTAGTCTGGCAGTGGCTCACACGATCTGTTGATATCTCTTTAATGAGACTTGATTTGAGGCCTCTCAACTTTTCTAGTTGAGTGTGTCCCACAAGAGTTTTGCTAGTACATCAGTTAAGTTTTTCAAAATTGTCCCACATTCAAACGACGATTTTGCGCCCCCCTAAGATGCCCCCCCCCCCCCCCTGGGCCGGGGTACCGCGTTAGTGGACTATGTGAACAACTTTTACTATAAACACGAACTACACACAACTTTAAATGAATCATATTTGTTTATACAACGACAAAAGAAACATTAGGAACGATCAAAATGAGTGTAATATTAGCTTAATTGTTGATCGTCAGATGAGTATCGAGTATTTATATAGGCAAGTGATGGAGCGGGCTGCAGGGACTACATATCAATGACGTATCACTGTGTCACTCACGACTCCCCAAATCTATTTTTACTCGCACTAGAGAGCTAATTGTTTCACCTATTGAGTCACCGTAACTTTATTTTCATATATCCCTGAGGTATCCAAATAAAAAATCGCCTCTCCAATTCGATGTTAGGCCCTTCCAATACAGTTGAGATAATAAAAAATAAATATTGGAGAGGCGATTTTTTTATTTGGATACCTCAGGGATCCATTTTTGGACCAACCTTGATAGTCATTAGATTTTCGTAGCACGCGTCATTAATATTAATAATCCGAAAGGACTGCATTCTCCGAAAGGCTCGACATGTTTATATGAGTTAAATGTAATAATCTATAGCTCTTTGAGTACGAACCAAATGAAACAAGATTTATAAAGAAGGAGCAATCGAGAAGCCAATAATAAGTAATAATACTATAATAAGCAAGGGTCGACCCCTTATTAATTAATAAGGGATCCAGAACAAATATGTCAGTAAATAAACAAGGCAGCCAATACACGTCTTTAGAGCTGTTTAGACAAGCAATATGGGTTCTTTTGCGATAGTCAAAACACGACAACTAGCGCTGGATGGCGACAACTAGCGCTGGATAGCGCTAGTTGTCGCCATCCAGCGCTAGTTGTCGCGTTTTGACTATCGCAAAAGAACCGCAATATGTATCATCATGTTAACGAGATCTCTTACTATTATAAGGCTCACACTCTGCATCATAAGGTATGCTACAGAGGTTGATAATTAGAGAGAAAAGACAAGGGTAACCAAGTAGTAAAGAAACGATAATCAGAGGTCATTTAAACTAATTGAATACAATACACAGGCGTATAACATACAACAATCCATATCAAATTTGTGCAAGCAGCCTTCAAATACATGTGTATTCAATTTAAATAAAACCTCTCTGTACCATCAATTGTGCTAATCTAAACTGGCCTACCTGGATTACCAGACATCTTCTTTTCCTCAACAATCAAACCAAGTTGTGCAAGAAATGTGATTTATCATAGCTCATATCACATTTGGTGGGTGATCAATGTAAGTACATATCGAGCTGTATTCAATCTTAATACGACACAATGTCAATACGTGTATATTATATGTGATATGGCCCTTAATGCGGTATATGAAACGCTTTATACCGCGAGAGACCCGGTATAGAGGTTTTACAGTTTATCACGAAAACGCCTACTTGGCGTCATGGCTCATTTACAGCTCGAAGAAGGCAAGAAAAGACAAGGGAAACCAAGGAACAACTAGGAAGCAATTGTAAATACACCTCCAACATCTACTGTGACTCGTTTTGTATTGTACTACATATACCGCTTCATTCTTTCATTTGCTATGCGAGATACCTCAAATCACCCCCATATCTCAGGATCGGCTAAAATCAAGAAACGGTAATAATTAATTCAGTTAAATGAGTTCCAGGAGTCAGGATTTTTTGGAAATTGCTTCCTCTATAGACCTTTTATAAACATTTTAATTCGATTTTCAAATTGACAGGCCTCTAATAATCGTTGATCAGGAAGGATTGTTATTGTTAATGTTATTAAGGATGTTGATTTGGAATTAAGGGCCATGTAATATACATTGTAGTTGTACATTGTTATGTGTCGTATTGTGATAGTGTGATTGAATACAGCTCGATATTACTTACATCACCCACCAAATTAAATGCGATATGAGCTATGATAAATCACAGTTCTTGCACAACTCGGTCTGATTGTTGAGGAAAAGAAGAGGTATTGTAATCCAGGTAGGCCGCTTTAGATTATCACAATTGACGGTACAGAGAGGTTTTATTTATTACAAATGTGATTATCTTAACCCCGCTGATTCATCATTGAAATAAATAACATTATAGTACAGACAACAGCAGGCTATCAGTTCAATCTTGAATGTGCCTTTGGTGCAGTTTCTGAGAAAATCACAGTTCTTTCACAACTGTGATTTTCACAGCTATTCCGATCATTTTGGGCCAATAAAAACTTTAAAATTGTTGCTAATAAGCTAATTGATAATTATCCAATTAACTGATTGTCTGACGTAAAAATTGTCTCACAAAAGTTTTTTTCTTGATAAGATGAACACCCTACGATTAATCCGCAGCCTTTTAGTTTTACGATGTTCATAACTAATGATATTCGACAAACAAGAAAGGTGGTAAAAATTGGTAAAAGTGTCAAAAAGTTTCCTTAAGACACGTGGAAAAGTTTGGAAAAGTTGGTCAGCCATAAAGGGCACCTAAAGGGACTCAAAAACGTCAAAAATCCTTTGGAAGCTTCTTGTGTCGGTAGATCAATTTTTTTAGAAGGATCTGTCTAGTGTACTATTGGCACCTTATTTAGTCTAATTAACTAGGGAGAAACTTCATTTCAAATCGGATCAGCAATACATTTGAGAGCTCTTACCACAAGTCCATCACTCTAAAAGGATACCCGACAGTTAAAAGTTTGGGAAATTGGTAGATCACCGACCGGCTATAAGCAGGCTTATAACCGGCTAATAGCCGTCGCTCAACAACAAATGTAAGTGGCTACTAACCGGCTATAAGCCGGCTTATAGCCGGCTATAAAAATTGTAGCCGGCTATAAGCCGGTTAGTAGCCGGCTTATAACCGGTCGGTGATCTACAAACTGGCTAAAAGTTTAAACTGAACTCAATCGAAGTTTGTGTTAATTGGCCCAGTTATGAGGCATACCTGGTTACTGGTTTTAATTTGATCACGTGACATGCCCATATAAGGAGGTAGGTCAAATTTCTCTCGCAGTTTAGTCCACTAAGACACGGCCAACAAGATTGAATAAGGGCTGGTATAATATCTGTCTGTATCAAGCTCCACAAACCGTGGATAATATTATTCCGCCATGGTGTTTTATCCAGTTTGGCAGAATAGCTGTTTTTTGGCTAACTCATTACAAATTTGCGAAGTTAATTGTTGTTCATTCAATTTCTATTAATGACAATTTCCACGTAAGAATATTACTGAAGACTGATCAAAAGTAAGTAATGAAATATATCTTTTAAACAAATAAAAACTGCTATGACGGATAGCCTTGTGACTGTATTGGCTCATAACCAAGTATTTCAAAATCTCGTTCATACATTTTGTTTAAAAACTTTATCTGCTTTTCATCAAGGAATTTTATATAATTTTCCAATTCTTCATTCTCCGAAAGTGACTTTTTATTTGAAGAATTATGTCTTTTCATAAAATCATCTTTATACTCGAGCATATTCAGTTTCTCTAGAAGAACCATTAATTCGTCTGGTTCCTCTTCCAATTTAATGATGATATCAAAATTATTTTGACAAATGTCACACCATTCTACGGCTGGCCGCCAGTGACCGTTTGCTCCTTGATTGTCAACTCTAGGTTCTCTGTGTTTTATCATAAAGTCAATCATTTCCACAAAAGTTGGGTAAGGGGGATGAAGATATGGATTGTCTTTTGAATAGGGAGTATGATCCACTACAGGCTCAAGTTCATCCACATATTGAGTCAACTCCTGTCTGTATTTTGTTTTAGTCTCATCGTCCCACCATGAGTTTGTCCTAGCATTCACAATGGCTTCCTCGGTCCACATTTTGCGTTGTCGCTTCACCTCGTACGGATAGTTTTGTGCCTTATGAAGGTGACTTATCAGTCTAAATAGGGGATGTCTTACAACAGTGAATCGTACACTACCGTTGGTTTCTCTCTGATAATTTCGATACTTGGATTCTACTGGGGTGATCCTTTCAGTATAAGTGTAAGTATGACCAACGTCAAATTGGGAAAGGAGGCCTAGGTGGTAATGCTCATTTTGAACGGTTGCTTCTGGTTCCACAAGATGGTCGATAAAGAAATCTCTCCAAGTAGAACTACCCGCTTTAAATACTGGACACCAAGTGATTCCTTTGGGGCCAAAATCTTTGAAGAAGTAGAAATTGAAATTATGGAAGTTTGGATAGGTTTGGTCCTCACAGAGTGTATTTATTCTTTTCATTCTAGCTGCTATTCGCTCCTCCGCTCCCATTCGCTCGAACGATTTTCGTGCCTGTTCTTCTTTCTTGCCCGGTTTCATATGATGGGTTTTAAACTTTTCGTTGACTTCGTTAATCGTTTTAATGGATTTTGCGAAGGACAGATTATCATCATACTCCAACTGCTTTTCTACTTCGTTCGTTAATTGATCATATTCAGAAATACCGGTAAAAGGGGTTTTAGTTTGTGTAACCATGCTTTTGATATCAAATCTTTGACTTGACGCTACGGTAGACTTTGAAATAGGTAACTTTATTTCCCCAGTCGGATTGTGCAATTCTATTGCTGCAAGCTCGTCTCCGATGATAAGTTCCGATATGAAATTGAATTGATAGTCCAGGATCCACAATCCTGAAATTTAAAATTTATATACTTTTATAAAACATAAAATAATATTTGAACTAAGCAATTTTTGAGAAATAAGGTTTGAGTAGGTTACTGTATCAAATTTTTTTTAGCGAGTTTTTAAAAAGTGCCCAAACTTGTTGCTGTTGTCTATATTTTCCAAATATAAGGTCATTAGCCGAGAATAATCATGAACGGTTTTGGTGTACGTCCCCTTAAATAACGTAATAATAATACCTGAAATAAGTGAGTTAATTCTTACCTCCTATAGCTATAGCCAAAAGGGTTATTTTTAAGAGGGCGAAGTTTGAGCATCTTTTCATACTGTAAACTGAAATATTGACTGCTTTTTTAGTATAAATCATAATTTAAAATTTTGATCGCAGTACCATAAAGAATGTACAGTACTGAATATACTAATTTCTAATTTCTAATTTCTAATTTCTACTGACTACACAACTTTCTCAAAATACTAAAATCGGTATCTGTATCAAGATTCAAAACTCGGTTGAACTGAAAATAGTTTTCATGTAAACAAGGTTCTATGACACCACATGAAATTATATTAGATTATTAACTTTACGAAACTTATAAATCTTGTAAGTTATGATAACCGGGAAGCGATTAGCTGATAGCTCAGATTATTATTACTAATTAACGGACTATTATCCGGTTATCCCGCATGTTTACAATTAAAGGAGACGATACAGCACGAACTAGAAACTGTAAAGTATAAACTAGTGAAGTCATTCACTATCTCATTTGAAAATCCCGGGATTCGGGAATCCCGACCGAAATAAATCCCCGGATTCCCGAAAATCGGGAATTTTCCGGAGATCGGGATTTCCGAACATTGAAAGTTTGTTAAAAACAAATGGTGCCAATCCTGGAGTTCGACTACGAGTTTCATAAAACTGTACTTGAAGCAGTATAGATGATAGTGTCAATTGCAATTTTGATTAGAATTTTCTAGTCTTTAGAACTTTCGAACAGTGTTTACATTGAGCAAATCCTAACTTGGGTCCATGTCCCTTTTCGAACTACTGACAAGCAGCAGAACATTTTTTTTAAAGGAACTGAAAAGAATTGTTCGGTGTTGGTGGTTTCACTATGAGTCACAGAAAGCAAAGAAGAATCATTTTGAATTTGAGAGTGATCTTGGACCTCAAGAACTTCTTAACACCTATTAAATGTTAATCGACACCACTGGTCCTAGTTAAATTTAGCCATGGCACGACTACTCAAACGTAACAGTTAAATAGGTGTGACATACTATTATATTCTTATAATTATATCATATGAATTGATTGCACTGCTAATAAATAAAATACTTTGTTTTACTAAAATACTTTGTTTTACTCTACATCGTCACCTGCATTCGCATTAGACTCGGACATCTAGCTTTGTTTGCAAAAAGTAATAAAGTCGGAATGATCAATTGACGTGTAAACGAAACCAACTCGCGCGCAGCAAAGCAACCAAACTCCACAGAACTGAAAACAAAATGGTCGGATCAGGCAGCTAGCTGCTAGATCATAGATGCGCGCATATTTTACAACACGTGCGCGAAAAGTGGCATGCAACGTATGTCAAGATGAGTGTTATATCATGATCATTTATTACCCAGCGTTAGCATCGTAGATTCGAGCATTAGCAAGCTAATCTAGGCGCTAAAATGTTTAAAATTACATTGCATAAAATTTCCCGAAATTCGGGAAATAAAAAAATTTCCCGGTCGGGAATTTCAATGGCCAAAAATGGTCGGAAAATCCCGGGATCGGGAATTCCCGACATCGGGATTGACTTCACTAGTATAAACATGTATGCGATTAGTGCAGTGACGTTATGTCCGGTGACGGGTGAGGTACGTACTGGAGTTAAAAGGAAAAAATGGTATTTGAGAAGATGATTTGTGAAGAATAAGATGGAGTGGAGGTTATTCGCTTAATAGCTGTCTAATACAATCAAATATCTAATCGATTTTTCAACTGTTCGTTATTTATGAGAAGCTAAACTGTGTGGAAATTTTAGCACTGTTAATACGGGTCCCAAACCATAGTTTTGCAATTTGTTTCCAAATTTAGAAATATACCGCCAATCTGGGTTTTGAAAAACAGTCCGTCAATAATTCGGCATTTGAAATTTCGGAAACTACGAAATGTAGGGCAAAACAATGACTGATCATGGACGATTATACCGAATGTTTTCATTGATCAAATTGAGTAAGAATAGCTAAAAGGAGTAGCTAAAATCTTCGTAAAATACGCGAAAACACGATTCGGCAGTATGCTAAAAACAATTCAGCAATTCGGCATGAACGAATTGCACAACCATGAGGAGGGGGTTCAAGATGGGTTCTAACAAGTATTATCCACCACTTACAGTTACGGAATTTCGCCCAAACGTTTATACAGACCTTTCAAAAAAGAGGGAAATTCGGTTTGAAAATGTTCAATAGAAATCCTGAACTATGAACTGTGGTGTTGTTAGTGTGTAGTGGTGTTAGTAGTGTTAGTGGTGTTAGTGGTGTTGTTAACTGGAAACAAATGGAGAGACAGCTCCGACAGGTAGGTATGTAAGATAGGCAAACAAACTATTGGCACGCACTGGACAGCGGGAAGAATAAAAACGTGAAGTTAGTTCAATGACCTGAGTTGGTATCCAGTGAGGTGGTGCTGGTAGGATATGAGTTTATATTTGGTGAGGTGGTGTTGTAGGATACGCCCTTTTTAAATTATTGGTACAAACTGCGCAGGTCTTATATCAGGCAAATTAGTACAATGCTGACCGGCTGTTAACTGGATGTTAGAGGGCTTTTAGGTATTTGTGTCCTGTAAGTGTAACAGCCATTTTAATGGCATTTCTAACAGCCATCTATTTCTAACAGCCCTTTCCGGTTAGCACGTACGTTCCGCGCGGCTCAAAAAGTAATTTATCAAGTCCTCAAACACCTTGCTAGACCACCCATTCGCCATCCTAACCCAAGTATACCAAGTTTCAGAAGCAACATGTTATACCCTTCCAAAGTGGTTAAAGATTTAGGGGTGATGGTTTCAGCTGACTCATCCTGGAGTCCCCGACGCGACCCCCCACGTTACCTTAGCCGAACGTGCACTCGTAAAGTTGATGCTTGGGTTCTGAGTGCGTTTAAATGTTAAAACGAGGAACAAAGTCACCATGCTGACCCTTTACAAATCTCTCATCAGAACTCAAAAGCCATCTCGAGTACTGTTGCCACTTATGGAATATTTCCAAGAGTGCAGACGTCCAACAACTGGAAGGGGTTCAGCGAACGTTCACAACAAGAATTGATGGCCTACAGCATCTAAACTACTGGCAGAGACTCAAGGCCTTAAATTTGATGTCGTTGCAACGGATGAAAGAACGATATACCATCATTTTTAGAATGATGTGCCCAAATGATGTCAACATCCAGTTCTCCGCAACACTCCGACATAGCCAAAAGTGAAAAGGCAGTTATTCCCACTCTGAATAAATTTGTCATTCGTTGTATGACCCGCCACGCACGAAGTGCGCGGCTCCCGGCCCTGTATCGTCGACGTCAGGACGATAGTGAAACGACCGTAGGGGTCACAACGTGATACAAAAATAAATCTAGCAGTCAGCGCAACCTAACGCTCTACGACAATTCGTTTGCAGTAATTGGACCTCGATTGTGGAACTTAATCCCACCAAACATGCATGCTATCGAAGATCCCCTAGACTTTAAAGAAATGCTTACAACGTTTGTGAAATCATTCCCGGATGAGCCTCTAGTGGCAGGATACAGCTGTCGAAATGGAAACTCGTTACTGGACTGGAGTGGAATAAAGGCAGCGATCTCGCTGTCCGGGTGGTCAGCAACTCTGATGACCCGATAGAGGATTCTATGAAGCACACCAAAGTAACCAAAGTAAGTAAGTTATTAACTGCACTAAGTGCACTTAATACACCAGTAAGTGGAGTTAATACAAAACTTTCGGTATAAACTTATTAACTGCACTAAAAGTCGCCTTAACTGCACTAAAATTAATGGGTTTTTTTTAATGAGGGAGTGTTACCTTAGCAGCCGGTTAATAGCATTGTACCTATTTGCCCTATTATATGGAAGTACTTGAGGATAGATGAGTACGGAGAATAGGAGATGTCTTCCAAAACAAATACGTGACGATAAAAATCGGAATAAAAATTCGTCTCATTCCGTCACTGATCCTGCTTGCACCGCAAAACTAAATGCTAGAGAAGTGACAAAAGAGGAGTATATTGATTGTTTGGTTAAATTTAGTCGTGGTTGCATAACTCCGAAGCATGCATACCTCAAATATTCGCTATTTGACTTAAGGTTCAGGGGTGAATTATTCGAATTATATTCAAATATTTTGCGTTGGTGATCGACAATTTTATTAGTAAGCAATTAATAGCATACTATGACTATGAGGCTGTGTTGTCCGATGCCACCAGGTTTTTTGAGGACACAACATTGGGTTTCTATTATCAGGAAAGAAGATTGTACGTAACTTTTAGTTAACATAATCAACATGTCACACTGACAGGTTCAAGCATTTAATTTGAATAATCAATGTGTCGATTGTACAATAAAAAATAAAACAGAATTCGGTTGGTATCTCTCTCATGATAAAAACTGTTACAACTCATAGCCTTGTAATGGTATTGGCTCGTAACCAAGCAGTTCAAAATCTCGTTCATACATTTTGTTTAAAAACTTTATCTGCTTTTCAGTTAAGAGATTAATCATGTATTTTGTCAAAACTTCTTTTTTCGAAATAGACTTTTTACTCGAAGAATTATGTCTTTTCATAAAAATGTCTCTATAGTGGAGCAAATCCAGTTTCTTTAGAAGAACCATTAATTCGTCTGGTTCCTCTTCCAATTTAATTATGATATCATAATCATTTTTACAAATGTCACACCATTCTACGGCCGGCCGCCAGTGACCGTTTGCTCCTTGATTGTCAACTCTAGGTTCTCTGTGCTTTATCATAAAGTCAATCATTTCCCCAAAAGTTGGGTAAGGGGGATGAAGATATGGATTGTCTTTTGAATAGGGAGTATGATCCACTACAGGCTCAAGTTCATCCACATATTGAGTCAACTCTTGTCTGTATTTCGTTTCAGTCTCATCGTCCCACGAAGAGTTTGTCCTAGCGTTCACAATGGCCTCCTCGGTCCACATCGCACGTTGTCGCTTCACTTCATACGGATAATTTTGTGCCTTATGAAGGTGACTTATCAGTCTTGATACAGGATGTCTAACAACAGTGAATCTTATGCTGTTACTAGTTTCTCTCGGATATATTAGTTTCCTAGGACC